TCCAAATCTGTATGAATAATTATTAATTATCAATTATTAATTATGATATGCAAATTCCCCCTTGATCAGACCCGAACAGAGTCTTTACAATAGTTAATTGAGTAGTTCACTTTTGAAAAAAACTTTTGCTGATAATTTACTCACCCCATGTCATCCAAGATGTCCGTGTGTTTCTTTCTTCAGTCGAAAAGAAATTAAGTTTTTGATTAGGTTTTTTTGATTTAGGTTTTTGATGAAAACATTTCAGGATATTCTCCATATAAAGGACTTCAATGGGAACCAAATGGTTCAAGGTCCAAATGAGAGTGGAGTTTCAGTGCAGCTTCAAAGGGCTTTTAACGACACCAGACGATAAATAAGGGTCTTATCTAGCTAAACCAACAGTCATTTAATAAATTAATAACAAAGTTTGAATTTTATAAGCACAAATTCTAAAATGTTTTCATCAAAAACCTTCATTTCTTTTTGACTGAAGAAAGATATGGACATCTTGGAAGACATGGGGGTGAGTAAATGGGGTGTATGCACGTATAAGTTCCGCATTTGATGCAAGGATGCTCGTCAGTTTCCGGTTGAGGAGATTAAAGCGGAGGAAAACCGAGGAAAAAAGGATTATGGCAGAGTCTTCAAAATTTACTGTCCTCCTGAAATTTTCATACGTTTTCATACGTTTATTTAATAAATAATAAAAAAAAGCATTTACACAACGAGGGGTGTCTGTTTTGTCTGTTTTTGTGACTAACGTTTCTTTAGTATAACCATGGAGTATAAAATCCAATATAATTGCATTGGACTCTACGATCGGTGGAAGTTATCGAGCATCCTTAAACTTTCACCGGAAATACGGCCGTGCATAGAGCCCATTATCAGCAAAAGTTTTTTTTAAAAGTGAACTAGTCCTTTTGTAGGAATATATTTTATGTACTTGTCAAAATGTCATGTAATCAGATGCCATGTAATCAAATGTTAATAATAGAAATGTTGTATGTACTTGTCTGAATAGTTTTAAAAGATGATATTTAATGTCTGAATACCTCTAACACCAATATTTACATTTCATATATCTGAATACCTTGTAATTAAATGCTTATATTTGGAGATTTTGTACTGTGTGAATACCAAATATAGTATGTTTAATACAATAATTGTCACGGGGTGGTGCACGCAGAAGAACAGGAGGGCAGGCAGAAGGAACAGGAGGAGTCCGAATTCTCACGAAGATACTGATTTAATTCAGAATTACAGGCAGGAAGACAGGGTAACACCGAGTAACATTCAACATTGGCCGACAAAGACTGAATGAACACAGGCAACCTAAATACAGACAGGAATCAAACATAACGAAGTGAAGACGGGTGAAACTGATGAATAAGACGAGGAACAGGTGGCTGATGAGGGAGTGAGTTCAGGAGGGGAGACAAGAGGATCCTGGGAAGTGTAGTGCTGATGACAAGACAGGATGGTGCAGACGCAGACTGTGACAATAATGCAGTGTTTTCTTTGTCATTTTTGACAAATAAATCCACAAAGTATAACCATATGCCACAGCTTTAAAAATGGATCAGTATCACAGGCATGTATGTTTACATACATTTATTAAATATGTGGGAAACAAATATATAGGTCACATATTTATACTTAATGTTGTCCATAGATGTGAGAAACAAATACTATACTGTAATATATGCAGATATAGGGTAAAATATATGGATGAACTCAAATATTTTCTTCACATGTTTGGACACATGTTCATATGTGTTGCAGGCATATATTGTGTTCTCAGATAAGTCAAATATATGTATAGATATATGTCATGCTATTTAAAATATAAGTACATATATGGCCATAGGCAAACTAAACCTAGGCAAACTAGCTTAATCTAGTGCTCAGAGCCAGGCTCTAGAAGGTGGCTCCATTTTAAAGTCGACTGTACCTTCACATTCTATGCTCATTGGCTAGTGTCCAGTAATTAAGGTTGTAATGGCAGGTATAGTGGTGCCATGCCTTGTTAATACAGGTTCAATGGTGTCCACTATTACAGAGGAATTTTTTTCAGAGCATTTTCAACCTCAGGTTTAGGGTATTTTGCAGTAATGTGGCTGGCTACAGTGGAAAGATGCAAATTAACTGGAAATCCTGTATAAAGGATATCTAGAGTTGGATGTAGAAGTTCTTGGTAGAACTTTGGCTCGAATGGGTATTTTGGTTGTTCAAGATCCCCCTGATGTACAGACACAGACAAGAAAACGTAATGTTCCCGATTTGTTGGGAATGAATATTCTGCAAAGTTGTTACCAAGAGCTGTTTAGTCAACATGGCACTGCATCATTTCATTCCCCACCAGCTGTAGTGTTACCTTGTGTGCTGAAGAATGCTTTGAACCCCCACATTTTTAGAACCCCCAGGGATAGGTGACTGGCAACTACCTGCAGACCTAGATTCCATGTACCCTGGTAACAATTGGGGAGGGAACTGTCTACAGTATGTACCCTTTGTTAACATAGGTACCAAGGACAGGTGGTTAAGACCCCATACATTTTTAGGTAGACTTTAAATGGTTAGTGTGTGTCCCCGCAGTGAACCTGTGATTTTTGGCAGGGATTTTTTGGCTCTGCCACAACAAAGTTGTGAGAGCCCTGCAGTATTCATTCAGTCAGCTGAAGTAGTGAACCACACTGTTCATTGTCTGGCAAATATACCATGGCCCAACTTAGAAGAGGCAGAACAGGAAGATTCCAAGGCCTTGTTTGAGAAGTAAAGTGTGGTTTTTAGCCAGAGTGATGGGGATTTAGGATGTACAAACCTGATAGAGAAAGAGATTCCCTTGCTAGATAATGCACCTATTCACCAACGTTACAGGTGACTTCCTCCCTCCCAGTATGATCTTGTGAAGGCTCATATCCAAAACTTGGTAGAGCAACGGGTAGTGTGGGTGAGTTGTAGCCCTTTCTCCTCTCCCATCGTAGTGGTCAAGAAGAAGGCTGGGTCTCTCAAATATTTTAGTTTCATGAGGTACTACATGGTTGTTGTTTTAAATTGTTTATACTATTGAACTATTGTAAAATAAATGTATATTTTTTTGATACACCAGCTTCCATCTGCGTCCTTTAATTAGGGTGGCTTGCGGGAGATTAGATTGAGAGCTGACTATTTACTGCTATAATCTGATTGGGGGAGATATTTAGTTGATAGTCTTTATAGAGTTAATTCACTCCTGATGGCCACATATGTATGTATATATTAGGGGTGTGCAAAGCAGCCGGTATTTGTATCTGTATTTGTATTTGTTCAGGGGGGGAAAGTATTTTTGTATTCGAGTAAAATTCAAAATAGGCATAGAAATCTTTAATTTACTTTATAGTGTATGGATTCTTTAATTATATCCATTATAATAATTATGGATAATTGCCATTACCTCATAAACCATGGTTAAACGAACAACTAATAAAATACAATTGTGAACATTATGAAACCCAACACCACGGTGGAGGACGCTGTGCAGACAGAATAAGTTAGGGATAATGTATAGCGAGGAGGTTGATTATGAGCCCGACGCGAAGCCTGAAGGGTTTGTATTCGCTATAACAACCGTCTCGCTCTACATTACCCCACTTATTACATGGCTACCTACCAAATAAATCAATAATTTGACTCAAAATATGGATATAAAAAGGAGTTTATTGATTTAAAAAACGATTGTATCGCTTCCGCTAAAAAAAACAGTCCGTTCTGTCTCTACGATTAGAATCCATGGCAACGCTCTGTTTTTCATGGCAACGGTGTGTTATACTTATAACAAGCAGCGGCCTGTTATAATAACAGACCACATTCTACATTAGAATTCAACCAAGCCATGTAAGAAACAAATAATTACCGTTACCGAGCTAACAGAGCTACATAACAGAGCGAACATGAGAGCACCCGTCTGCAGACATCAATAATGGAATATACTCCTGATCAAACTCCGCTTCCCGAAAGTTATAAACTGCCTCCGGAACCCAGTTAAGGTACAAACATCTATTCAACAAAAATAGTGATGCAGTTAATTTTTTTTTCTCGCTCAGCCGAGCCCTCTCTGTTGCTGTGTGGAGCAGCCTGTGTCAGTCACCTCTTCCTGAACGTCACTCACTCAACTCGCGCACTGCGGTCTCGTGAGGAACGCAGCTTTTTGATTTAAAGTAGGCTATTTCTTGTTCCCGAATACAAATATTTTTTTAAGTATTTGTTCGGAATAAGTATTCGTAAAAAAGACATTATTTGTGCCTTTCCGAATACCGTATTCGGATTCGGCTCCACCCCTAGTATGTATGTATGTATGTATGTATGTATCTATCTATCTATCTTTATAACTAATCTCTATTTCAAACTAATCTATCTATCTATCTATCTATCTATCTATCTATCTATCTATCTATCTATCTATCTATCTATCTATCTATCTATCTATCTATCTATCTATCTATCATCTATCTATCTTTTTGGTGGACTGTATTGCCTTCAAACTTTCTGGCTAAACTTAAAGTTTGCCAACAAACTTTTTTATCTAGTTTATGTATTTCTTTTATTTCCAGAAGTCCAGAAATGTTATGTGTTCTGGCACTGTCCACTTAGCAATTCAGGTTCATCACAGTAGTCAGTTTTTGAAACCGATATCACAATGTCTTGAATAAATACAAATGCTGTAAAAAAAAAACACTTTTTTGCCTCTTCTGTTACATAGGTCTACATCAAGATAAATTGTAGATAAAATTGTCTGGCAATTAATAGAGTCGACTATTTCAGAATCACTGTATCATGATAACATCGATATGATGAACAAAATTGTGTTGTAGTTAGTTGCGAGTACACCAGAGTCATATGCAATTATTCTTCCCTCACTAAATGTGTACTATGTACTTTAGGTCTTCAAGTGGAGGCATGCAGGAGGTGAAGCTGATATGCTGTTGTTACCTGTTAAAACATTTACAGTGGCCGTGTGTAATCATTGATTGCAAGTTTTTATTAGTAATGATAATAATAACAACACTACTCATACTATTCTCATATTCACCCATAAAGATCAGATACATGCATAGTCTTTCAGTATGATAAATACAAGAGAGAAAATAAAGAGAGTTCATTAAGTCTTACATTAGTAGTCCTACACCTTTTTTACACTAGAGGGAGATCATATCTGTGGCATTCACTTGAATGACTGAAAGGGTTCAGGTCTTCACTGATGCATTTGATGCAGTCTGATGTGACCTTTGCAGTTTTGTCCTTTTCATATATCCATCAATTCTTGTACATAAGTTAAATGTGTTATGTTTATGTCACATTCTTTTTATAACATCTGTAGCTATTAGGCTATGTTCTGTTCTGATCAGTTTAATGTGGCATTTTTCCCAGTAAATGTTTTTTTGTGTTTGCATCTGGTCTTAACAGGATGATATAACATTTTGGAATGAAAATGCAGATCAGTAAACTATAACTGGAAGCTAAAATGGCAAATACCTCCACAGCTACTGTTAACTTTCCAGGTGTGCTTAGGTAAGCTGGGATAAATGCAATCCAGACAGAACAGAAAATAAGCATACTGAATGTGATGAACTTGGCTTCATTGAAGTTATCAGGGAGCTTCCGGGCTAGAAAAGCCAAAATGAAACACAAGACAGCCAGTAGGCCAATGTATCCCAGAACAGCACAGAAACCAACAGCTGAGCCTAATCTGCATTCTAGGATGATCTTTTCGCTGTAGTAGTTCATGTTCATATATGGGAAAGGTGGGGATAATATTAACCAAAGGATGCAAATAAGGACCTGTACAAGAGTAAAGCTAACAACACTGATTCTTTGTTGAAGAGGCCCAAACCATTTCATAACATTACTTCCTGGAAGTGTTGCCCTGAAGGCCATTAACACCACTATTGTTTTCCCCAGAACACAAGAGATACAGAGGACGAAAGTGATGCCAAATGCTGTGTGACGCAACATACAGGACCACTCAGTGGGCCGACCAATGAAAGTAAGTGAACAGAGGAAACACAGAATCAATGAGAAGAGCAGCAAGAAGCTCAGCTCTGAGTTGTTGGCTTTTATTATTGGTGTGTCTCTGTGGTGAGAGAAAACTAAAAATATGAACATAGTTAGAAATGCCCCAAGAATCCCAAACATCATTAAAATGATACCCATGATATCGGTGAATGACAGGAATTCCACTGTCTTTATGATACACTCATCACCTCTGCTATTGGACCAGTATCCAAAAGGGCACTTCACACAGTCAGTTGCATCTGGTGTGGATGAAAATGGAAGTGCAATAGTAATGAGTCTGCGATTTCAATGAAGTATCTCGTAGCCTATAGACCATTTTGCAAGATGTATACAACACTGGTCCAGAAGCACTTCCTGTTTCAGTTTTTTAACACTACATAAAAGCTGGGATAAAATACAACAGAACATATAAAACTGAATCAAAAAGTTAAACATCTTTAATATGTTTTCTTTACATGTGAAATAAAGAAAACAGTTACAAACTGAAACAGGAAGTGTTTCTGGACCAGTGTTGTTTACATCTTTCAAAATGGTCTATATCTGATCATATTCTACTCTTTTAAAAATAGACTTGTTAGTGTTTTAAATAACGTTTTTATGGCAGGGTATATCATTTAGATTAAAATAATTGTAAAACGTTTCCATTTGATCCTCTTTTGATGAACTGCAAGTGTTAAAATAGCAATTAAACAAACATTACCTGTTTTGTTGCTAATCTCTCCTGGAGGGCATTGAATACAGTCAAAACAACAGATGGGTCTTCCTTGCTGCACAGCTTTCCTAGTGCCTAGGGGACAGCTCTCACTGCACACAGAGACAGGCACCTGCCAAACATTAGGGAAAAATAACTTGAACAACAATAGAAAAATAATATGCCATGTGACATGTTTGCACATGTTTACACATGTTTGTCTTGTGGATCTGAGCCTATACGATGCATCACTGCATCTCATGTGCACTTGTGTATTTAGTTATGATTGGAAAGTTAATTTGAAAAGAGACTCTTACAGTCTTTAGGCCTCCTCCCCAGATGATGTTGACATTGTTCACAGTAAACTGTTGCCCACGAGGCAGAGTTGCATCATAGTAGCCAATTGTGGCTACATCCATGGTGCCTTTTGTGACCTTTTGTAAATTTACCAGTTCATACCTTGCAGGGGAGTTCCCTTCACTATCAAAAAACAGTGTTTCTCCCCTATTCATGCTGAAATTGACAGTTTGCAGATAATGTAAAACCTGTAATGATAGAATATTTTTTGTTGTTGTTGCTCTTATTATTATTTTTAATTTGCAGTAATCTCATTTTGGATTCAGAATAACCTGCTTTTAGCAGCATGGAAACGTAAAATTGTAAAGCATGTGATTTTAAAACTGCACTATAGTAACATCATATATGGTGATTTCAGTGATAAAAAAATACTTAGTTATAATAGTAAATTGTTCATTCATCTTTTGTTTAAATCATTTAATTTAATTTAATTGGATTTTTACATATATTTATAGTTTGGTTTTAAGATTTCAACAGTTTAGAAGTAGTTCACCTGCCGGGGTTGTATTGTTGTTGGCTGTGCACAGGTTGCATTATCAAATGGGAGTTCTTGCTGCTTACATGACAGTAGATTGTGCAGTGCATGAGCAATAGCATACACAGCAGTGTAGACATTATTGATAAATCTCAGATCAGACACATCAGTAAAATAATGTTTGACATATTTCAAGTTTTCTGAGCCATTGCAGACCCGTAGAATTGTATTTGGGCTTAATGAGCACTGAAAAACATTTTCCCAGAATTCTTTGAGAAACATGCTTTTGGGAAATTGGGAGGGGTTGACATCCTGTAGAAAAGGGCCAAGTCCAGGTATTTGAACATTGCGTCCAGTAAAACCTATAGATCCAATCAGCAAATTGTGGCCTTGGCTAGCTACAAGAGAGTCATCTGTGATCCAGGCATCACTTCCGATCCACTGTAGTCCTGTAATATTTTGCCTGTGTAGCTCATCCACCAGTATCTTGATCTCTCTGTGCGACATGAAAGCCATTATTATTTTAGATGTGGAGGTTCTGATAATGTCTACTATATTTGTTAAAGAAGTTTTTGATCCTGTGCTTTCAAAAGCCTCTGAATATTCAATACAGACTCCCTCTTCTTCAGCAGCCTTAATAAATGTGGCAATGCCAGTTTTACCATAATCATTGTCATTGCTTAAGGCTCCCACCCATGTCCAGCCAAAATGTTTCACAAGCTGGGCCAGAGCTCGGCTCTGGTGGTAATCACTTGGAATAGTTCTGAAGAAAGAAGGAAACTCTTTTCTGTTGCTCAGGCAAGCACAGGAAGCAAAATGACTAATCTGTGTGAACACAATTACAAATTTGACACAGCATGAAAATGGGTGAATTTCATTTATCACTGCCTCAACTTTTTTTTCTGTGTGTCAACTGATCATTTTCTTCTTTAATGATGATTTTTATCAAACTTGTATATTTAAGTTCAGTAATTTCACTTAAATGGCAATGATAATTACCTATTAATTGTTATTTAAGTGAAATTACTGAACTTAAATATACAAGTTTGATAAAAATCATCATTAAAGATGAAAATTTCAAATGGCATTTAGAGGCTTTTGCATCTGAACTCTTCATTTGTTATTCAATTCATATAATGCTTTTCACAAACATATCATTTCAAAGCAGCTTTACAGAAAATGCATGTATGTACATTACAAGTTAGAGTGATCTGTTATCAGAGGTGACTGTGTCCAAGTACATATAATCATGCAGTTAGCTAACTGTATATTAACATAAGGCAAAAACAATCAGCTTATTTAAGTAATTATAACTAGTTGTGAACATAATGATTACAAATCCAAATGAACGCAAATGAAACAAGCTTATTCATCTGTCTAATATATTTTCAGATTTTGGCTTATAATAAATAAAAAATATAAAACATATATAAGATATATAAATAGTAAATTTCATGTGTAATCTTACCACAGGTATTTGGAATCGGCCAGTTATTCTGGCAAAGCCAATTGTTGGAGTGGATCCCGAATGACCTATTATAGCCTGCACAGTATCGGCCTTGGTGCAGTTAATTTTGTCTGTGACATCATCTTGTCCATTGGACAGTGAAAGTGCAGACTGAAGAATATTAGAGAATCCACAGGCATTAAAGATTTCATATCCCAGAGTGTGGTTTGGGAGTAAATTTCGGTTTTTATTTATTTCTTCTATTGCGAAGATCATAGTCCATGCAAATTTGAATTCCCTGTAATTGATACTAAACAGATAAAACAAAGAAAAATAGGACTGACAAGTAACTACCACTTCTGCAAAATATAAAACAATACACTATGTAATTCCAGAAATTACACTATGATAACAATTTGCATTGAAAACATACTTACTCATTGCACTTTGGTTGAGGAGGTAATCGGTTAAATTTCGGAATCACCCCAGCATACCCTGTGTAAAATGTGAAGATGCCTCCAATTTTTAGGGCTCCCTCTTTGATGAACTCAGGCAGCTGTGTTTTACCCTGTCGCTTACAAACTGTCTGTTCTGCACTGATCAACACTGACTTGAGCAGTAGTAGCTCTAGAATCAACATTGTGGACCGGATCCTTTCAAATATTCTGTGACCAAACACATTCACCCTTTTTATAGACCAAACCTTTTGTTTACACCCTTAACAGAGGATGTATAACTGTCATACATCATATAATTTGGATTTTTACATCATATACATACTTTTCTTTGGATACTATATAATAATTTAGTTTTTAGAGACATTAATACAATATTTCTTTATGGTATGCAAAGAAATTTCATAGAACACAAACCTTTTTCAGGGAGGACATGAAACTTTATTAATTTTAAAGCATTCTCAAAGCATATTTTATATATTATTAAATCTATTTATACTGTATAAATTAGAAATTATTTTCACTATATTGAATATAAACTATATTGGAGTAAATTACTCTCTAAAATGTTTAACATTATTTGTTGAATGGTACAACTTGAACACAACTTTAATCATTAGTACATGACTTCATAATATTGGCCATTTGAAAGTTGGTGTCATATCAGTATTAAATTAAAAAAAAATAAACACTTTTAGATGATTGGTTTGATAAGGCAACATTTGTAAGTGGTGAAGAAGGTAAGGTAACATTCACAATTATTCATAATTTATTTAGTTAAGCATTTTTAATATGTATTCCAATGTTTATTCAGTTCAATATTTAATATTCTGAATGAATAATAAATAATTTAAGAAATGTAGAGATTACAATCATAATTCATAAAAAAAAAACATTTTTTTAGATAAATTTGCATCATTCAAATTTACATAATCATTACCATGTTTATGAATTTTATTTATTTATTTTATGATTTATCATCATGTGTTTCTTTGTGTTTTGCTCTGGCTTGAGTAAAATAATGTAACATTTTGGAGCAAATATGCAAAACAGTAATCCAAAACTTGAAGCTAAAATAGCAAATATTTCCACAGCTACAGTAAATTTTCCAGGTGAACTGACATAAGCTGGGATAAATGTGAGCCAAACAGCACAGAATATGATCATACTGAATGTGATGAATTTGGCTTCATTGAAGTTATCTGGCAATTTGCGAGCCAGAAAAGCCAGGATGAAGCACAAGACAGCCAGTATGCCAATATAACCCAGTACAGCCCAAAAACCAAAATCTGAACCTAAATTGCATTCAAGAATTATTTTCTCTTGGTAATAATGCATGTTCATATATGGAAAAGGAGGGGATATTGTTAACCAAAGCACACAAATTACAATCTGTAATAGAGTGAAGGTAATGACACTGAGTCTTTGCTGCAAGGGTCCGAAACATCTCATAACATTACTTCCTGGAAGTGTAGCCCTGAAGGCCATTAACACAACAATTGTTTTCCCCAGAACACAGGAGATACAGAGAACAAAAGTGATCCCAAACGCTGTGTGACGCAACATACAGGACCACTCAGTGGGCCGACCAATGAAAGTAAGTGAACAAAGGAAACACAGAGTCAATGAGAAGAGCAGCAGGAAGCTCAGCTCTGAGTTATTGGCTTTTACTATTGGGGTGTCCTTGTGTACAGAGAAAACTACAGCAATACCTAATGTAAAGCAAACACCCAGTAAAGAAAACACTATTAGAATAATTCCCATCACATCTTCAAATGATAAGAATTCCACAAGTTTTGGGACACATGTATCTTTCCATTTGTTCGACCAAAATTCAGCAGGGCAATTGAGACACATCACTGAATCTGAGAAAAAGTTTGAATATAAAAAATATTTTAGATTGTACACTTCTGCTTGTTGTTGTGTATTTGTAATATTGTCCCATACCTGTCTCATTACTTATTTCACCATCTGCACACTGAATACAATCATAACAGCAGACAGGTTTTCCTTTTTTCACAGCCTTCCTTGTGCCCATTGGACAGCTCTCACTGCACACAGATACAGGAACCTGTAAAACATGACAATTTGTACCACCACAAATCTTTTGTCTTGTTTACAGCAATTAAAGGTGTACTTCAAGTCTCTAGGCCTGCTCACAAAAAGTACCTGGTGTTGATTTTTGGCCCACTCTATGCTGATGTTGTTAAATGAAAGCTGAAATCCTGGTTGTAAAGAGGCATCATAGAAACCCACTTTCACAAACTCTGTTGTTCCATCCTTCCCCTGCTGCCAGTTCAAGAGATCATATCTTGCTGCCGGATCTCCATTTTTATCAAAGGACACCTTTTCACCGGTTTCAGTGTAGAAGCTCACTTCCCTCAAGGCATTAAGTACCTGTAAAAGCAAAAAAAATAAATGAGTGAATAAATGAGTGCAATTAACATGACCGTTTCCATGCAACTCGTGCTACCTGCCATGTATTGTTGACTTTCTGCAGGCATTTGCGTTGGTTTGTGTCTAATTTTGAACAACTGATTATGATGTTTAGAGCATGAGCGACAGCATACACAGCCTTGTAAACATTATTGGCAATTTGTAATTCTGTAACATCTGTGTACTGGTTCTGCACATTGTCCAAACTTTCATTGCCTGTGCACATGCTTCTGCTTCCATCAGTTTGTTGTGAGGGAAGTTTACAATGGAATACTGTTTCCCACAACTCTTTATACAGATCTGTACTGGAAGATGGGCTAAGTTTAGTCAAAAATTCCCTTAGGCCTCTTATTTCAGCTTTTGGGATGGCAAAGCCCATGGACCCTCTAAGAATGTGTTGCCATTTACCAGTAGCAATGTTCATATCAGAGATCCATGATTCACTACCAATCCACTGTAGACCAGTAATATTCTGCTGAGATATTTCCCCTAGAAGAACTTCCATATCCGAGTAGGATACAAAGGCAACAATCACTTTAGAGCTTGATTTCTTCACAATGTCCACGATCCTCAAAATTTCCTCCTTGGTATCAGTCCTGAAGAATGATTCTGAAAATTCCACACAGACTCCCAATTCTGTGGCTGCTTTGATAAATGTGTTCATGTCATTGTTTCCATAGTCATTATCACTGCAAAGAGCGCCCACCCATGTCCAGCCAAAATACTTGATCAGTTTGGCCAGTGCTCGGCTCTGGTAATAATCACTAGGAATAGTCCTGAAGAAGGAGGAGTGTTTCTTTCTGTCACTAAGGCAGGCGCATGTTGCAAAATGACTAATCTGCAGGGTTTTTAAAAACAAAATAGAATGTGTGATTTAGTAGTAGGATTTTTTTTTACATTATTACATAAATCACTGATTTGTTAAAGCTTTAAACAGTCATAAGGAAAATACAGCAACATACCACAGGTAAATGCAGAGGTCCGACAGTGGAAGAGATGGCAATAGTTGGAGTAGAGGAGGTTTCTGCAATGATAGCTTGGACTGTGTTAGGTCTTTGACAGGACAACAGAGAGGCATTTTCGCCATTTACTAATGACAGAGAAGCTCTGAGAGCCATTTGTATTGAGCCACATGAATCATATATTTTGTAACCCAAACTCACACCAGGAAGAATATCAGCTCTGTTGTTGATTTCTTCAATGGCAAATACCATTGTCTGTGCATTTTGAAATTCTCTGAGGCTCAAACTACAGAAAGAAAATAAATCAAATATTTAAATAAATGACAATGAAAATGCACAAGGTTAAGACATGTATAAGTATATAAATACCTATACAAGCAGATATTACAGGCACACCTATACAAGCACACTGCATTAATTCATTGTACTTTTTTAACATCTGTCAAAATGTGTCCTTATCCACTCACCTCTTGCATTTGGGCCGCTCTGGTTTTGATGTGAATGTGGGCATAATTTCCTGCCAGCTGTTGTGGAAGGAAAAGATGCCCCCAATTGTCACATCCCCATCTTTTCTAAGCTGAGGAATGTCAGAAGTCTCCCATAACTTACATGGGGGGTCAGCTGCTCTCACTAATGTGAACAGTAGCCATGTGTGTAAGAACCCCATTCTAAACCCTTAACAGACAGCTAATCCTCTTGTTCTTTCTTATATAACAGCTGTTGGGTCTCCCTCCACAACCGGCCATGTTGTGGGTGTTGCTTACTGAATTGCATATTTTCTGTCTTCATCTTACTTTAGCCAATGAAAAAATAATATTATTCACATTACACTGATATGGAAAATACACCAATGACATGTAAAATGAACTTAGAAATAGAAATAGCAAATAAACATTTAAATGTAACATGTATGCTCTGTTATGTTCTGTATTAGGTTAGTTCCCTTTTGAGTGAACTCAACACTGCGTCGTTAAAAACGACTCTTTGGGGACGCTCCCTTAGCGTGCGCCTCTGAAGTTTCAATGAAACTATTCCAATCCTGATTGGTGGTGCGTCATGACGTAACGTGACGGATGCATAAAAGTGATGCCAGCACACACACACTCCAGGTTTTGCTCTTCAGCAAGCGATCTCTGTGAAACTCTCTGTCTTATTTGGTGTTGTTTGTCTGTGACAAAGCTCTACATATGGTGAGTGAACAATACACTAAGTATACCCCTGCCCTGTATATCTCACGGGCGGGGACACGCATCAGTTGTGTGTGTATAGTTTAGGAGCGCAGCATGCACAGGCAGCTCTCGAGAGGGCTGCCTGTGAACACTGTGAAGCACTTCCTATTAGAGTGCTGCGCTCCCGCTCAGCTATATTATTTTCTGATGATGGCCAGGCTCGCGATCCCTGCGATTTGGCTCGCGAGTCCATTGAGGCGGCGCGGCGGCTTGGATCGTGGAGATCGCAGAAGGATCTCGCGGATGAGAATGAGACTGCTGAGGCACTTTTTCGTTCATCATCTGCAGATTCTATGACACTCGTTCATGACACAGAGGCCCGTGATGCAGCTTCTTCTGCCCGTGACGAGTGCCTGTTGCTCAAGCTATCTGTTTCTGAGGAAGTAGATTATGCTCAGCATCAGGAACAAGCAACATGAGTCACACTCGCCAGCTTGTTTCTGTTTATGTAGAGCTTGTGATGCATACTGTGACCAGACTTAAAAGAAATATATATATATATTAGGGGTGGAGCCGAATCCGGTATTCGGAAAGGCACAAATAATGTTTT